ACTTTTGCTGACTTTTTATAAGTGGAAATCTTTTCCAATCAACTAAGATAATTTCCTTTACTCGACTGCATCCCGTAGAGGGGGGGAGGGAGGGCAAATTGGACTAATATTGATCTAGTTGATACACGACATAAACACGCTACCAAACAGTAATTTTCTAGTAGTTAACATTGACACCAAACGACTTTAGCACTAAGTAGGTACTGTGCGATTTTGCTCTTGCACGTGCTTGAAGTAAAGGAAATGCAGTCACTTTTGTGTATATCGGTGCTTTATGTACCTACCAACCTAGACCAGTACAGTCAGCGTCAAATAGTTCGTGACGTAAAGTAGCCAAATGGTTCGCAACACGTCTTTGTTACAATTGAAATAAGGTTGTGTTGTCAACTTTTTGGTCACTTTGGAATTTTGGATGTTACGAACTATTTGACGCTGACTGTACCTACCAGATCCAAGGTGTTGTAGTAGGTAATTAATATTTTTTTTATCTTTAAAATGGAAAAATCTTACAAAATGTAGAGCTACCAATAAACGAGATTCTGTAAAAGCTTAATACTCCAATTCCCTTTTCAGATTTGGTTCCCTCAAATATAACTCTATCGTAGTCGTGCGCACTTTAGCTTTTACATACACAACATATATTATTACGTTATTTTTTCGTAATTAACTAAATATTAATGTTCATACATAATTATAAAGGCAGTTGCCTAATCTTACCGTGTAAAAGCTCTTTAACACTTCGTATGTGGAATCACATCTCAACACTGTAACAACTATTAGAAAGTTTGCCAATAATCGCGACGTCAGCGCCGCCCTCGCGGCAAAATGTGGCAGTTATGGGATTATGATTATTGATACCAGCGCTATCGGATATTAGTTCGGATGTTCGGCGGTTTTCCTCGTGTTATACAGTTGTATTTTTGTTGGGAGTTCGTATGGGGATGTACTGAGCGTGGGCGGACTTTTTCTCATCAATACAGTTAACTTTCACTTTTAGTTTTTCACGGTTTTAAGTAAATAAAATGCAGATAAATGGCTAAGGCTGAGTTGCACCACCCTAACTTTGACCGTCACTATGACGATAACCGGTGTTTTCTGTATGGAGTTTGACAGATTTTTGACGTTTGTCAAAGTTAAAGTAGGATGGTGCAACCCAGCCGAAATAACGATCAAAGTCAAAATAATGCTTAGGATTTCAGACCGAAAAAAACATTTCTACGTAAGCTACGTGTGTTGATTCTCCTGGAATTTATAACTACAACATTTTCATAAATTCAAACAAAACTTTTATTGATGAATGCTTCTTTTAAATTAATGGACCATGTATTTACTCAATCCCAAATGACTTCTTTCCAATTACTGCTAAAAATATCTCAAAAGAATTCGATTCTAAGTAACCTACATAAACCACTTTTATTTTTTCAGCTTTTCAACAACGAAATACTCATTTAACATTATATCATTTAGTCTATTCTAAGGAAATACTTCTTAGAATTCAAAATTGTTCTTGAATATCTTTCTTGGAATACCAAATTTCTATCTTTTTACCATTGCTTTTTACTTTATTCGTACCATTAACGTTTCGATTGCTGTGATAAACTTTGATATAGACTTAAATGGGACCTAGGAGAAGGATTTTTTTGTGCTATATATTTTGACCCAAAAATAAATCTTCAAGAAGATGCAGGCTTTGAAAGTAGGGTTAGGGAATCAATAAAATAATTAAAAAGTTTATTAGGTACACATATTTCAAGGGCGTTAACTCAGAACGATAAAAAACCAATTAGTCTAAATATTCTTCTAACATGTGAGCAAAAGTAAGTAAAAATTGTTATATTTGGCTACTGTATCCTAAAATACAAATGTTGCAGGACTTATTCTAGTCAAAGTTTGAATATCGGCCGTGACTTTCAGAACCAGACAGACTTCAAGACAGCGTGGGTTTTGCCTAAAATTGGAAGCCGCTTGCCTTCCAGCCACTTTTGTACCGTTGTGTTGTAAAAATGTTGTTCCAATTCGACCCCTGGAACGTGTTACGAACTTCGACAAGTCTGGATTTGGAACACAGGATAAAGAGGGCACTTGATGTTCATATATTTGGATTCCATGGCGCACGTGGATTTGTGAAATATATTACAAACTTACAAGTCTTGAGAGTCTGGAATTGGGAAACAAAGAAAAGGTTAGTAAAAGGATTCTTGGAGGCAAATATTACGTCACACGTATTTTATGAATTAAATAAATTTATCAGTTCTTGAATACTCTTTTACAATGTAGCAGAGGGCGATTTAGATGCTGTAATGATTTGCATATCGAAACAAAACATTGGAAGTTTTCTTGTGATCACTGGAAAACTTTCGAATGTTTTTCCTTTCCATACAAATCAACATCATCAGGTATTATTCTTACTCTCTCTGTCTCTCTATTTCAACCTATGTTCACCGAATGAGTTCTCTACCATTCTGTCGCCTAATCTTAGTAACTGGGTATCCTAAAGTAACTCCACTATGTTCTACCTCAAGAACTTCAACTAAATCCTATAAATCCTATCTACTAAAATAAACGTTAACTGTCTCAAAATCTAAAGTTCAAAGTACTTCAAAGCACTTGTCTTTATGTCAATATTATTGCCAGTGAACAAGCATGACAGAAGGCATCCATGTCATACTGTGTCATCTCCGCCCGCGCGTTGACTCATTGTTTTTATACCGTGATCTCATATGCCCATATAGGGCCTGATGAAGCCTTAACTTGATTACGTTGCTATGAGGATGATGTGTGTTCCTATAAAAACGGAATAACAATACTTATAATTATTTTTAAAACATTTTTATGTTATATTTCTACCTTATTGGCTGGAAGAAGAGCCAGAGCCAAAGACTTGCAATTTAGTGATTTTTAATGCTAATTGCGATTTGTTAATATAGATATAGGCTGAGTTGCACCACCTTATTTTAACCGTAGCAATAACAATAACCAGTGCTTATTGTATGGAGTTTGACGACAGATTTTTTGTCGTTTGTCAAAATTAACTCCGCCTAGTATTGTACCGTTCCAACTTGCTGTATTGGTATTGCAATCTTAACACTGCAGCATCTATGCAGTTGTAATATGCGATGATGTGACATTTGTACTAGTACCTATAGTCTGATCTGCTGTCGACTAAACTACAAAAAACAGACACTTTTTGTATACTTCTGTTCTCTTCTTATTTAAGTGCTAAACCCGTAGCAAGCCATACATTCTATCATATTTTATTATACGATAAGAGTCCCATGTTTTTCGCTCACATAAAAAAGTATTGTTACGTATTCCGGAACAGACGCCGCTCGAATGTTTTGCTCGATATTTTGTTTACGGTACAAAATTGTGTGAGACCTTGTATCTTCTAGGTGAAACTAGGTAAGTAGTTATCAATTCCTGTAGGCCTAGGGCGCGCCACGATAAGCGTTTATCACGCCATTTTATCGATTTTACGCGATATGCCCATACATTTGTCGTCTAAAATCATCGATAATATTTTATCACAAAATTAGTTATCCAACTGAGATAAAAATTACGAGTAAGTAATCCTTTTTCAATTCGTTATGAAATATAGGTACCGTTAATATTTTTGGAAAATCCTTCTTTCCAAGAAATTGGTCAATATGAAAAGTCTTACTTACGTTACGAGTATATACCATACTTATTAACTCCTTTTTTAAGGCACTATATCTTCACGCCAACAAGGAACTCCTGAGAAAATTGCCCGTGACAAACGGAGAGACACAGGCACGTGAGTGAACTTATAAAGGTTTCGTTTTCTTGAAACTTGAACGGAACGTTGTAGTACAAAAATAGATATTTTAATGCATCTATAAAAAGTTTCTGTTTTGCAAGAATATAACCTGAACTTCTGTTGTTACAGTCCACCACAAAACCAATGGCAACATCAAAAAATATATACTTCCTCGTTTTATTGAAGTCGGTTAAAAACAGGCAGACAGAAGAATAAACAACCTAAGACACTTGAAAACGTCTCATAACACAAACGCTCACCCTGATTCAATATGATTAGCAGACTTGTTATTGGACCCACAAAATCGAAAATTGCTTATCGTTGTTCCCAGAAACTCCTTTGTTTGAGATAGATGCTTTTACGTTGGGATAGTTTGGTCTAAATTGGTTCATGTTTAAATGGCTAACTTCATTAGCGGGATAATAGATCGGCTCCCGAGGGCTACAAAGGCTCGCTTCAGGTTGCCTGGGCTTAGGGTTGCCATCTTTGGCAAATATTGTCTTGTCCGGTCTGTCCGGCTTTTGTTAGGCTTTTTATGTGGCTGCCGCGTCAGGCAAAAGTCGGGCTACAGAATAATACTAGATGGATGGATGGATAGATGATAATACTACTCACTCGTGAGCTATGACACTAATTACATGTCCGGCATGTATGACCAAATGAGAGAGTGTCCGGCTTTTGTGTTTTTGGACCTGACAACAGTGACAACCCTACCTGGCCTGGATGCCGCGCCACATATTTTAGGGAACACGATACTACGGCCCCGTTTTAAGGACTTGTTATTTAACACGGTTACACTTGACGCTACAAAGTCAAGTAGGTGGATAGTTAGCTGTTTTTGTGATAATAGATCTGACTTTATCCGACTCTATCAAAATTTTCTGGACGCAATATTGGGGAACTTTAACTATGAATACAATTTCTAAAGTATTTGTCTATAGTATTTTATCTTAGCGGTGTCATTTATTGCGCTTTTGGTGATGTGCGAGTCCAATTTGCATACATAAATATCTTAGTTAACCGATATCAACCAGGCATCAAGGTGAAAAAATAGCGCCCACAAAATATATTTATTCCACGCCCGCTGAAGACTGTACCTCAAACTCGATGCCTACACGGTTCATGAAAACGCTCTCACCTCCTCGTATTGCTTTCCCGATTTTTATTAGTAGCACGTCCGCATTATTTAGAGTAAACACGGTGATCCAACGGTACACGCCTACCCGAACCAAAAACGTATTCATATTAGATTTCCGATCTCCGCGGCGCGCGAGGCCGAGCGTATACGTTCGCGATACTTTATTCTCCCTGCGAGTGCGACTTCGAACACTGTCAAATAACGGAGGTGAAATATACCCCGCGTTGTGTGATCCCCGCTCTTACGATGAATTTTTGTTTGGTTTTCGCCCTGTTCGGATATTTTTTTGCGTGGAGCTCTGGAATGCTGTACCGACGGGACTCCAATAATGTGCTGAAGCCGGGTACGTTTTGTTTTAATTGCAACTGGATTCTGTTTCGCTGCAAATGCGAGTTTTCAGTGAGCCTTATTTATTTTGATGAAAGTATGAACCGGTGAGTTTTTGTTTTTGGTTATTTGAAGAGCTTTTCACTGGTAAAGGGCTGTTTCAATATTAAAATTTTGTAGAGTTGTTTCAGTAATTTCTACAAAGTATTTTATGCAAATTAGGAAGTCACATTTTAATTCATTAATTAAATTCTATTTCTCGTTAATTTAGTCATACTTCTATGTCGCTTACATGTACAGAACTTTTTTAAATATTTTTTTTAAGTAAAGTTCAACCAAATCAATTGACTTTTAGTTTATTCACAAAGTAAAGCGTGCAAACTTACTTTTAGATATTAATGTGTAACGATGAAGTTCCATGAATCTACACAAATACACATTTAAGATTACCATAATCCTTTGGTAGTTATAGTCAAATGTATAATATTATAAACCATAATAATCCCATTTTGTTACTACAATAAGGAAACGTTGGCTGCATTACTATATGCGGAATTTAACCAGGAAGCTAACAAATAGCTACATAATAAGATATACTATGTATACAGACATCATTAGCAAATTCCTTTGGGGCATGGCAAGACCTTTGTGTCATAGTTATTAGGTTGAGCTTAGAATTAGCGATCAACTTTGAACTGTGTATACATATAATAATATGTACCCTACATACTTCGAATATTTCTTTGGTAATATTTAAAGTACTACGACGCGAAGGCAGCGAAATTCAAATTAATATAGTATTAATTTAGGACTTTTTGCAGGGCACATCCCAAGATATGTAGAGCCTTTTCAGGACACGCCCCAGTATATCTTGCCCTACCACAACTTAGGCTGCTACTGAGAAAGGAGGTACACATTTATATTACAGACAGCTTATACGTTTTTGTTGCAAAATCATCCTTATTTTAAATACATAAGATGCCACAGTGTATAGTTTGACGTGCCTTCGTCTACACCTATAGCTTTAGGTTTCTGACAGAAAAATACGGTGCCGCGTTAAAAATATAACATGCGTGCCGCACGTGTGCACCAATGTAATATTTCTGGTGTTCGAATAATACTATAACTTACCTTGTATGTTCAGCGAAATAGAATAGTTTTTGAGTAATTTACCCAACTAATCGCAAAATACGGTTCTTAGTGTGGACTCTAGTTCGTTTACGATGATTCACTTTTATTAGATAACTCTAGCATCACTAGGATGTAACTTTTAACTGTAGAGATATTAATCTATTTTAGGATTTTTAAGTAAGTGCTATTGGAATGCACTTGCAATTGAGGCTAGTGAAGCACTCCAATTGCAGGACAGTGGATTGAAATCAAAAGAATTGAAAGTGAAAGGATGCAATTAAAAGCACAATTGCATATGACAAAATATTTAAAGATGATGTCATGCTAGCATATAGAGTAATATACGAGTACATTAAGCAGTAGGCAAAAGCTAATAGGTATTACTCATAAAAATAACACACCAAATTTTGAGACTTGTTTAATTTTGCTCGCTTAATGACTCATTCCGAGTTGATGTTGAACGCGACATTAGAATAATAATATTATGTTAATGAATACAACTAAGTCGCAATTTACGAACATTGACGGTCATATCTATGCAATATTAATATTCATTGTAAAGAGAAATATGGAAGTCTCTTTATTTACTATGACCTATCTATAGAGGAATATTGCTGGGTATTAATTTAAAACATAAATGGTAGGTATTTACACATTACACATTACCGGGGTCTGTAAATTAATGGCAAAACCAATGAAGTTACAACTGTCTTACTGCACAACTGGCAATCATCTAATCCAACGATGTATTTAATATCGTTATTCTAATGCTAATTTATAAACATGTCGCCTATCGTCTAGCATCATCACCATTACATTCACAAGACGTCCACTACACTAAACATAGGCTTCCCCCAATGATTTCCTAACTGGCTGATTGGTAGCTAAAATTAAAAGATTAAGTGGTTGGTCTAGTATTCGTGAAGATAAAATCGCCAGTAAAATTTCATTGTAATCTGAACTTTCTTACACTGTGGGTGGCGTATAAGGAGTTGCGTCACCTTGATACCTGCGCCTGAGTGCCCTTGCGCCTTGGTGCAACTCCGATAAAGTGCATTCATGACCTGCAATCGATGTGCAACCCTATTTGCTGAGTAATAATACTTTTAATCAGTTGGTAAGCATTTTACAAGCCTGAATAAACATGATTTTCCAAAAATAAACATTCCGTACTCCCTAGAAAGATTAAGTGTGACTTATCTACAACACCAGTGTTGTGGGCTTGTGGCCTAAAACGGTATCTCAGAAAAAGAGCATTAATTACTGCATAGTTCCAATTACTACTTCTGATTTGTTTGTTACAGGAGTTCAGAACCCTCCTGAGACCGTGAACAGCCATGATCAGACGTTTAGAGGAGCTTCCAACCGACAACTTAACGTTAACGTACGATCCGCAGTACAGAATTCAAGACTGCAATGTCCTTACTAATCTGTAATGTGGAATGGGCGTGCTGTTCTACTTATACTATGACCAACCTTATATAGTTTGTCAACGAAAACAAGCAATCGTGAAGCGGTCATGGTTCACGGTCTTAACAGCCAAAATGGCGGGAATTCGTTCATATTTTATGTAAATTACCATGCATGCAAATTGTTGAAGATTATATCTACGTCTTTTTTGTAACTAGATAAAACAAAGGTTATAAAAGAACAAATTGGCGATAAAAAAGAGTATAGAGCTGTTGTAAAGCTACTACTTAATGAAAAAGAAATAGCCCCAGTGCAGTGTAAGCGAATGGGCGAGCTAGTTGAGTTGTCATTGAAAATAGAAGGTGTTGTTTTTTCTCTTCGCGAACCTGTTAGGTCCACAAAGTCCATTAAACGGTAAGGTGTGTACCTGTCATCTAACTAGTGATGGGACGGAGGCACGGATATTTTTACTATGTTTAGCTTCCAGGTTAGCTGTGTTTGCTTATATTAGGATACAAATAAAATAAGGAGTATGTTTAATTCTAATAGATTACAAATTTCTTTTCTCTTTAAGAAGTTTTTTATTTTAAGAATAGTTCAATCACTAAGAATTGTGTCGAATGGAAGTAATTAATATGGGCTAATTATTTAAAATTTTATTTCATCAAATCTTTTCTATTTGTTTATTACTAAAAAAATGATTTGTTCCTAACTCTACTCAAACCAAGTTATATTTTTTCTGAAACCTACAGTTACAATAATCTTTTCTCCTTCAAATGATTTATCACTTTTGGTAAAACTTTGAGGTTTCGGATAACTCTGTGAACTCGGTCCCAAGTCCCAACACTATACTACGTGCAGTATTTATTGTAAGTGACTTTCAAGCGGCCGACGCGACCTTGCCCCGTCGGCGCGCGGCGACCGCTGCAACCACGGTCAAGATACAGCCACAAGATAACCACAGATAACCACAAGACAAAGTCATGTCGTTCACTTTCAGATGCAAAAAAACAAGACTAAATATTTCAAATTACTGCTACGTATAATAATATGAATGGATACTGGTATATGTATACGTGTATGGTTCGTTCTAATCTTTTAAAAGCTCGCTTATGTAGTCTACACACCAAACCCGTCTACCCGCCGCGGCAACGGCAACATGAGTCGTCAACTTTTGACAAGTTGTCTAAAGTCATAGAAAAACATGATTCTTTTGAATTTGGTATGTAGAGTCCTTAAACCTGATCCCCCATAGACTTCTGACTTAACTCATCAAGTAACAGGCCCCATACGGATTTACGCTTTAAAACTCGGAACCAAATTGCCGTGAAAGAAATATTAACCATCCCTAGTCTCCAATGACGTGTCACGGAAAAAGAGGAAATGTTTAAAAGCTATCAGGGAATGCACTTCACGGGAATATCGGTGCGTTAATACATTTATGCCGTCATTTCATTCACTTTGAGAGAGGAAATTGGAATTCATATTGTAATAATAGGATTTTCATCGGTACTCTTTAAAATTAACCGGGGGTGAAGCATGGAGGAATCAGTGTTGTGTGACAGCACAGATAATATAATGTGACAGTAAGCACTTGTTTATTGACGTAGTTACAAAGTTTATGATTATTTTATTTAAATTGTTTCCACTTTCAAGACTCAGTAGCTTTGCATACTTCTTGTATTTTGGTTTAAAAATGTACAACAGTCGAGACCACAATATAAATTTTCGTAGCAAAAACGTACCTTTTACAACGATATGGGATGCCACAATGTTTAATTTGACTGTACGGCCTCAGTAAACACAAGTTTTCAAGATTTTATGACTGTTTGTCTAGACTTCAAGCCTTCAAACCGCTCTTTATGTTCAAGTTCCTTGAATAAATGTTTCCTGACCCTTTTAAAATAAAATACACTTGACGACTCTCCCGTGGTCGTCTCTTAAATTACAACAAAATTTATCGTATTAAATTATTTTATTTATTCAACAATTTTTACAAGGTACGATAAAATATAAAATCTCGTGCTTCATTTTAATAGGTTTACAATTTATTCCATCGTTTGGATTTCCTCTTTTGGCACGATTCTAGCATAGTGGGCAGAAAAATACGCTCTATCGCATCGTGTTTGTGTGACCATACGTTTGGTTTTATTGAGACTTTTAAACATTTTTTTTCTGAGACACGCGACTAGTAAAATCCTAGCATCTTTACTGATTGTGTGGTTCGCTAGAGGTTAGTTGAAAAAAAAAGTATTTTTCATTATCTGTGGCCTGGACACGGTAATCCACTGCTATAAGGGAAACTAAAAAAACTCACTAAAAACAACTGGGAAACATTCACGCTGTATTGTTCTGTATATAGAATCCGGTTACAATACCCAATGTGTGGTCTTCTTACACTGACTCTGATATACTTATCGTCATATTTTGACCATTTAGCCTTGAATTCAGCATATGAGAAATACATAGATTTATAAATACCATCGTTAATGTGTTACAAGTAACGATTTCAAACCACCATTCCAGTCCTATATTATTACCGATGTGTGGTGTCCCTACACCAGCATGTGGACTCTAGGCCGGTGGCCACGCGTCGCCACATACCCTCATTTTAATATTAAACGAGAACGCCTTCATTTTATTAATAAGTTTTTGTTCGTGCAACTCTTTTGAATGCATTCAACGTCGAACGCTTTATTGTAGGAGGTATCAATGGAGGAAAATCTGTTAATGAGAGATAATGAGTAGTTTTTTACAATTTATTTCCATTATGAGTAAAAGCTTACTAAAAACCACTGAAATATTTAGGGAGGGGAGGCAATTTGAACTATGAAAGGAAATATTTTCATAGACGATATAAATAGTGTTTTTGCTGACAGTTTTTTAAAGATTCCTAAGTAGGTATCACAAACACTTTCAGGTCCAAAGTATATTGTTATACCATCTGAAACAATAAACGAGAAAGCCATGATTTTCCCGAAAAAACTATGACATATTTAAAATGAAGTGGAGTGGTTTATTTACTAAACATTACTTTACTATCTTTTCCAGATCTGATGGCTATATCCTCGACCGTGGTGCCGCTGCCCATCTACAGAGTATTCGACTTCGAGAACAAACTACCCCAGGACAAGAAAAAGACACGACCACACGGAAAAGTTGAACTAGTCACCAAATCAAAAGAATAAAAATTCAATAGACTAAATGTGGTTACCTACACTCTATTTCATTTGCGCCGAGAAAACGAAACACGAACAGTTTATGAAATTACTTAGGTTCTAAGAAAAATAAGAAATAAATTCCTGTAAGTACACATTATACTTTGGACTTCCACCTCTTCAGTACAAAGAATCTGCTGGTAAAGAGAAAAAACGTTAGGAACTCAGCCAGCACAGTTCAATACGTATCTATACATTATTATCACAAATTCATATTTTATTTTCCGTCAATTGGCTTTTTAAGAGCACTTTGAACACACATGAGCGTTTGTAAAATTTACCGAATAGCTTTCTATCCATTTTGGAACTGCATGGTCACAATCTACGTATATCTTTGTTTCTGCAGCTCATGTCATTATGCCACTCTACAGGCACTGTCTTTTAGAACCGAATTCTACGTGGCATTATGCCACAGAAGAGATGGATGAGCTCGTAGAAGTGCCACTAGAGCGTTGCACATGCTTTTCGGCAATATGTATAAACAACACGCTGCGGCGAAGATATCCGCTGATATCTGCTTGTTTTTACTATTGGACACTTGTGAATTACCTAGGACCCACATAAAATTTGTTAATTTTTCATGTAGTGACTGCAAGGTTGTTTAAACCTAAAATACAGGCCCTTGGACCTCTAGTTAACTTTAAAGTGAAAAACTAAAATTCCGGTTGACTCTATGAAAGAGGGTTTTCCATTAGCCACCCGGAAGCGGTGACGGCGCGTCTTTCAAATTTTGTCACTTATGCCATCGTTGGCTAATGGGAAAGCGCCATAAGAAGTGTTTGTTTTGTTTAGCTTCAAATAAATTTTAAGTTTTCCTGTAAGAAAGTCGCGGGAAGAGCCTGGATGCGGGCAGCGCAGGACCGGTCGTTATGGAAATCCTTAGGGGAGACCTTTGTCCAGCAGTGGACATCATTTGACTGAAACTAATGAAATTTTAATTCTGCCAAACAGCTTAGAAGACCATCCAGCTAAAAATGTTAAAGCTAAACAAATAAAGCTTGAAAAAATTGTAGAGACGCGACAGCATACCTACCAAGGAAAGGATAAAGGATTGACTCATGTTGTAATGTGTTATTTTGCAACAAAAATGTGTAGTGTCGACAATACCTTTATTCAAAATTTGGTCCAGTAATTGTAATTGGTCAGAAGCGGCATAATGCCGCAGAGGAGACGGATGAGCGCTCGTAGCGCGCGGCTTTCCGCCGCCAGCGCCATCTGCATATTCCCGTCGCAACAACGCGCCGGCTATCTTTGTTTCCACAGCTAATAATGTCGCACTACCCTACGAGTGAGTTTCAAAATGCAAGTCCTTAAATCTTTTTGATAGCTTGGTTTAATGCTAAAAAATTTGGTTGATTTGTTAGACCCTTTTTTTTTTTTTTTTTTTTTTTTACGGGGAAAAAATGCGTTGAATCGCATACCTACCCTGCGGGGACAGGGTAGGTTATGTGGGGCTCACCACGTCAGAAGGACGAGGCATATCCACTAAAAAGACCCCGGTGCTCCGTCACTCGCCATAAGTGGAAGGAGACTGTGGGTTTCCGGACAAAGCCTTCTCTACCACAGCCCCTCCCGGCGATTGCCCGCCTACATGGCGGGCCCTACAAGCCCCCCAGGACGGGGGGCGACAGGAACAGCTGGAAGCACACAGCTGTTCCCGTCCGACGGTGGTGGTGACCTGTGCAGTGCAGGCGGGGGCGCCCCCACGCCCCCGGCCCGCTGGCCATCACCGAGGAGAGGAAACTGGAGGCGATCATATTGTCGCCTCCTCTGACCCCTCCGCCGTCGCCGGAGCGAGGGCGCGTTTGGATCATCCTCGCGCTCTCGCTCCGCGGCCTCCTTCTGAGACATCACGTCTTCACAGAAAGAGGCCATTGCCATCCAGGCCTCGTTGCTGTCCAGCATAGTTTTGACTATACTGGGCAGCACAAGGTCCCGGCCCACCGCCGCGATAAGGGTATTGCGCTGCGGAGCCCACGCCGGACATACCGCAAGGGTATGGTGCGGCGTGTCCTCCGCACCGCCGCGACATGCGTGGCAGGACGGCGTCTCTTCCCTTCCAATGCGGTACAGATATGAGCCAAAGCATCCGTGCCCGGTCAACATCTGTACCAAATGAAAGGAAAGGTACCCATGCGGGCGCTCGAGCCACCTTTCTATGGTCGGCGCCAGCGCATCCAAGGTTCGGCGGCCCGACTCGGCAACGGCGAGGTGGTCTGCCCACTGCTGGACCACAGTTTCGCGAGCCTCGCGCCGAACCGCCTCCCTCTCCTCGAAGGCTGGGTGTTCGCCCCGCTCTTTCTGGGCCGCCATCCATCTGTAAACGGCGGCCTGGACATGCGCTTCTAGCTCCCAGGGAGGGGTCCCCGCCAAGGCGCATGCTGCGTCGAAGCCGACGGTGCGATACGCCCTGGCTACCCTCTGGGCGATGGCCCGTTGGGGTCTCCGGAGGTGGGCCGCGTTCCCCCTCCTGTCAAGGGTGTCAGCCCATATGGGAGCCCCGTATAAGGCCATACTCTTAAGAATGCCGGCATAGAGTTGTCGGCATTTCGCCCTAGGACCCCCCAAATTTGGGAGCAGNGGCATTTCGCCCTAGGACCCCCCAGATTTGGGAGCAGCCACGAGAAGGCGTCGGCTGCCTTTCTTAGGCGCGGCGACAGGTTGGCGAAATGTGCGCCAAACTGCCACCGGCTATCAATGATTAGGCCCAGATATTTGAACTGGGCCTTGACATCGATCCTAACACCTGCCACCATGATATGGGCATCAGGAGGGATCTTCTTACGGGGCCCGTGGAAATAGATGGCCTCCGTTTTATGGAGAGCTACCCCGAGCCCCAGACGCCCAATTCTGTTGGCGACCATTGTGCCACCTGTAGCGGCCAGGCAGGCCGCCTCGTCATAATTCCTCCCCCGGGCAGTTACAAGGGTATCGTCTGCATAGCAGATGATGTCCATGCCCGGAGGGAGGGCGCCGCGCAGGACCCAGTCATATCCGATGTTCCACAAGAGCGGACCAAGAACGGACCCCTGTGGAACACCGGACCTGACGCCATGCCTTCGAAGTTGGCCGGCTCTGTCCACGAACAGTATTTCTCGGTCCGACAGGTAGTCGGCCAACAGACTCTCTAGATAAGGAGGCACCTCGTGGTATCGAAGCGCCTCCAATATGGTGGTGTGGGGAATGGTATTGAACGCGTTGGCTATATCAAAAGATATAGCCATCACGCCATCCCCTGCATCAACTGCCTGCTGGACAAGGCCTTTTAAGTGGGACAGAGCGTCAATGGTTGTTACCCCAACCCCACCACTATTTAGGGAAAACACAATATTTACTTATTTATTCTTAGTTTTTACATTTTCTTCTAGCGTGTTCTTATTTATAAGCGTGGATGCAAGAATCGACTCTACATAAAATGATGGAATGTGAATAGTTTAACTATTGATTAATATCTTACTGAATATTATAAATATGGGAAGGTCTGCTACTACTAATTTAAAAAAAACAGAAAGAAAAAACTACATGCTGTTACTTTTGAAACGCCTATCAATCTATGAATCTAAAAATCCAGTTTTCTAATTCATTGTTCTACAAAGTGCAGTAATAAAGAAATTAACTCTTGTTTGAATAGTTAAGTTGAGAGTTGTTCTGTGGTAGATAGCTTAATTAGGTGTTAATACAAAGTTTCCGTGCTATCATAATTGCAGTTTCCGCTTGTACTAGTGAGGGCCAGTTCTCATATCGACTTTTAAAAAAAAATTACTAAAAGTTTATAATTTCACCTATAGACATAATACTCCGTCATTTTAGTATTTCGTATGCTTAGTTAATCAAACAATCTAAAACTCATTTTTTATAATACATGTAGTATTCATTATCAAAACTGTGCCGATTATTGTATAAATAATGATTACAGACAGACTTAATTAGAAATAGTCACTAACAACTATATAGCTATAGTTGATTCGTTTTTACCAATTTTGGACGCTGACTCAGAAAACGCCCCCTGAAATCCCATTCTTATTGTTATTTCCAATCAAGCCTTACTTCTGTCGAATTGATTGATATACAGGTAAGCGCAAGTATAAATCACTATCGATATCAACAATCTTGGCATCACTACTCGCCGCGGGCTGATTCCGGATGAAATAGGCAATTAGTGACTGAAAATAGTTTTTACGTTTTTCCTTTTTTTAGCTGACGCCTAGAACTTGCCGCCCGATTAACTACGGAGATTGTAATTTGAATTTTAAGATTATTCTAGTAGCTACAGTATAATTATTGGACGGTAGAGTCGTTTGTTGCGAACCTTTTGTACGAATTAACAACAAAAATGGCCTAAAAGGTTCAGCTATTGTTAGACTAAGCTTTACGCATCATTTTTAGTAATGGTAGGTACAGCGTGGGTGAAAATTTACATACTTAGTACCTAAATTTCTAAACTGAAAGACCACGCTTAAAGAGCAAATAGCTCTTTAATCTAAATAACGTTGCCAAACGATCTTTCTTCATCTACTTTTATATTATCATCTGAATATCCTGACTTAAATAATATTGAGATTGTTTTTATAATAATCAAGAATCTTTCTTAATAAATTTAATTGAACTGAAACTAATTTAAATTGAATATGAGAATTTTTTGTTTCAGCTATTTTGTAATGCTATCTAATACCTACTACCTACACCTACCTACTCTTACTTAAATATTTTAAGTAGATATAGTCGTATGGTTTGTTTCACTATTTTGCATGATTATAATAATATGTATAAGTAGGTAGTTACCAATACAATACGAGATTCAATGCCAAGCAACGCCCGCCCGTATCAACTCTGCTTAATAGTTTCCAGAAAGAAAAGCAAAAGGTGGCAATGACCAAATAAAATCCAAAACGACTCTCCTGGCACTGCCAGGTGTAATAACTACACATTACGAGTTAAGAGAGCTATAAATCCATACATATCGCTCCTAAATCTAGCTCGAGCGAGTCCGGCGCAATTACACACCTCGGCGCGCCGATATTGCTATATGTTCGATAGAGGGCGACACTAGTTTGTCAAAAAGTTAATTATTGAAATCTAGACTTTAGAAAACGGC